CACAGTATTTGAACAGCATTTTGGCCTGGTGTGAGGGAAGAAATGAAATATTGGTAACTAAAAACTGGCCAGTACTTCATAGCAGTGTCTGCACATCACATGCTACATAACACATATAAAAGAATCCCTGCCTCATCTGTAAACTGGCTTTTCAGGGAGCATATGTACATCAATGCAGAATATTATTGGGTTGTCAGACTCATTTTCAGATAAGCATATGCATTTTTCTCTTCCTAAACCAAGCCTTCACAGCCAGATGGGCATCGAAAACCCTAGAGATTATTGCAAAGTTGTAGACAGAGCTGAAATACAAGAGACAGAAGGAAGGAATGCTCCCAATCTTTTGTATTACAAGGAGACCAATTTTCTAAAATGACAAAATCATCCTATTTGCATTCAAGTTTTCATGCATCAGTGAGTGAAACTACTGTAATACGTGATAGGGGAAAAAGTGAGAGGAAAACAGAAGCCAGCAAGGACCAGATATCCATATTTTTTTTAAAGGACTGCTATTCATTTACAGAAACACTAATTGTTCATTTATGTCTACAATGGAGAGAAAATATGAAAATCCAAAGAAGGGCTCTTGGAGAAAGCTATGATGATTTTCACCCTTTTTGGGGGAGAGTGAAAGATTAATATCATTCCCACTGCTTCCAAATAGCTCTCACAGGACCCCCTCTCTCAAGCACTTTACTGGTCTGCTCTATATGCTGCTCTAAGGTTCAGAACCTATGAAAAACAGGATGGCATAGATAGATCTTCTGCAGGCAGCTTCTGATACTGGCATTTAACTGAGATTAGGCTCACGGAAATGGGAATGTGGAGTCAATATATTGCATTTACTTGCATACCACACACACAGCCCCCTTCCTCCCCCACTACATAATCAGCCTGCAAATAGGGCACAAGTCTTAAGCAGAAAAGATGATTTCTGTGTCATAATGAAAGCATGGAGATGTAACGTAATGGTAATGGCTGCTGGGGGCTCTGCTTCTGTTCCAGCTGTGGACGAGGGGAAATTTTTAGAAGCAAAGTTAGTTTTAACCCCTTCACAGCTACTGCCAAATTGGTGATAGCTTTTGGCTGTAGCAGCAGCTTTGAGAGTTAAAACTGTAGCTTTGGCAGAGCAGACAGGCAGAAGAATGCACTCAGTTTACTCCGCTCCTGTAGTCAACAGTCAAATCTAGGAAAAATATTTTCTTCTTCATTCTATCTTCCCTAAACAAGGTGCATGTTCTATTTGGAAGCATATAATATGCAAGAAAATATGGAAAGTCATGGCATTTAGGGGCACAAAGTATAGAAGTCCTGCACGACACAGTTACACGTGTGTCAAGGTTTTATAGTTAGAAGAAAAAAAGAACAAAGTGGGCTACTTCAAGACATTTTGCATTTGTGGTCTGAAGTTGGTGTCCACTTCTCATTCTCCTCAACACTCTAAGACTATTCTCCCGAGTCGGTACAGCAGGATTATATAACAAAAACCAAAATAAACAAAAAGAACAACCTCTCTCCTTTCCTCAACATAGTTCATTCAGTTGGTCATTCTATTTGCTTGTCTAGATGGAATGACACAAAAGTGCATTTTAGGTGTCCTAGATACTAAACATTTTGCATTTCTACCTTCTACCTCCCATCATTTATTAGGATCCTTCCTCCCTTTACATAAACTATACAGAACATCATATTTACAGAAACGTCTCCTTCATACTACTCAAGAATGTGCAGTCTTAAGCTTTCCATCAGCTTGCACTGACACACCAAATTTAACACACCAAATTGAGTTACTGGTGGTTTTTCTAACTCTACTATGCCAATTGTGGTAGTGATATCTGTAATTTAGCAGGTACATTTATAAGCCCCCTTAGCTAATATTGTTTAGAATCGACTAACAGATCACTTCCTTATATTTTGGTCATGGTTTACACATTGCATTAATATTTACTTCCTTCATTCCTCTGCGCTCTACTAAGAAAATCTTCCTGAATTGTACAGTAAATAATATTGTTTTAATAGTATACTATAACTTATGTGTCACAGCAACAAGGCAGCAGTACTGCAAGAACATAAAAAGGATTTTCCAAGCTATATAGAACTTAATTAAGCATACAAAACATTCCTTCTCATGCTCCATGATATATTAAAAGAGTACATCATTTTATGAAAGAAGAGAGCAACAAAAATTAATCCACCTTGCGCATTTCTGTTATGCATGCCATTACACTATACATAAATATAGAATTTGTTCTGGATCAATCCTTAGAGTCACTGATGACATAGTAATCAGAATTTAAGCCATTCTATCATGGGTTAAAAACAGGCAAAATACATCCAACAATGCTTTTGAGAAAAGATTATTAAAAAGGTACGGTGAATATAGAATTAAGCTCTAAAACTTTTATTCTACTCAGTTTTTATTTACCATTATTACAATTAAACAAGATGTTAACTTAGAAAAAGTTTTCAATCCTATTTTCCTATACAAAGCAACACAAAACCATTAGACAAAACTTGGCTCATCAAATTATATACCGCAACAGGCTGAAGTGGTCTAAAAACAAGACTACTTCACAGCAACATTATGCAAGAGGAAATATAAGAAGGAAATGTCAGCATAATGCTATTCCATAGTTATCAATCAGAAAAAAAAGAAAAATTACAATTATTTTTGAAAGGTTATCTTTACTGTTACACAGCTGGCTAAGTGACATGCCAGGATGCTCCAATACTAATTTTTTTTTCCTCCTGGGGTACTGAAATATTTTCATCTAAAAAGTTCTTAAACTAACAGCTTAAGTAAGCCTGCTTCTGTAGTCTACTACTGTTTCTAAGGTGGCCACTGACATATTCCCAAAATACAGGACATCTCCTTGGTGAGGGTGGGCCCCCTCAACCAACCAACCAGTGGGGCCACTGCCTCCTCAGCCAATCAGCAGCAAGGAGCAGGGCCACCAGAAAAGGCCACCTCTCATTCCTTTTTTCCAATTATTGAGTGACTAAAAAATAACCATTGCACATGCCATCAGTTAGTATGCTAGGAGATATTCAAAGTCCTGAGAGCAGAGTGAAAGAGAATGCAAGTGAGCCTGCTATTTCAGGATAGAGCTTAGTGTATGCCATACTCACATTTAACCACCATAAAACAGCCAAACCAGAATGATTATGCAAAACAGTATTTTTAGTTCATAGACTGTAAGGCTGGAAGGAACCTCAGGAGATCATCAGGTCCAGCAGAAAGGTAACTGTGGGTCAGGTGACCCCAGCAAGGTGACAGTCTAGGTTCTTCTTGAAGATTTCCAGAGTAGGTGAGATTGCACCACCTCTGGAGGGAACTTATTCCACAGTCTGGACATCCTGACTGTGAAGAAGTTTTTTTCCTAATGTTGAGCCTGAATCAGTCTTCCAGTAGTTTGTTGCCATTACTCCTGGTTTTCCCCAAGGGTGCCTCTGTGAACAGCTGCTCACCGAGCCCTTCATGTACTCCCCTAGTGTAGTGGTAAGCTGCTACCAGGTCCCCCCTTAGCCTTCTTTTCTTCAGGCTGAAGAGTCCCAGATCCCTCAGCCTTCCTCAGTTTTATGGCTTCCCATGTAAGGCTCTGATCATACAGGTGGCTCTTCTCCAGACTCTCTCAAGCATGTCCTTGTTAAACTGTGGAGCCCAGAACTGGATGCAGTACTCCAGCTTCAGTCTCACCAGTGCTGAGTAGAGGGGAAGAATCACCTCCTTGGTTTTGCTGGAGATGCATCGATTGATGCATGCCAGAGTATTATTTGCCATACTGCATGGCTGATGGCTATAACAACACACTGCGGCTCATATTCATACTGTGCTCTACTATTACTCCCAGGTCCCTTTCATTAGTGGTGCCAGTCAGTTTAGTGCTGTCAAGCCTGTAGGTGTGTTGGGGGTTGCGTGTCCTGAGGTGGAGCATTTTACATTTCTTGACGTTGAACTTTATCAGATTCTGATCCACCCAACATGCTAGCCTGTCTAGGTCTGCCTGTATCTGTAGCCTATCGTCAAGCGTGACCACGCTTCCCCATAACTTGGTGTTGCCCATGAACTTGGCCAGTGAGCTCTTCACCCTCCATCCAAATCATTAAAAAAGATGCTAAAAAGTACTGGACCAAGCACCAACCCCTGTGGGACATCACTGCCTACTTCTTGCCAGGATGACAGATCCATTCACTAGAACTCTCTGGGTCCTATCCCGCAGCCAGTTTCTTACCCACCTGGCTGTCTTGGAGTTAAGCCCACAATCATCCAATTTTCTTGTGAGGACATCATGGGATACTAGATCAAAGGTCTTTTGGAAGTTTAGGTATACAATGTCAACCTGCTCTCTCATGTTCAGGTGGTGAAGTTACCTGGTCATAGAAGGAGATGAGGTTGTTAAGGCAAGACCTGCCTCCAATGAAGCCATGCTCGCTGTCATTCAGAATCTTACCTTCTGCAAAATTATTGCAGGTAGACTCCTTGACAAACTTGTCTAGGATTCTCTCTAGGATGAAAGTCAGGCTGATTGGCCTATAGTTACCCAGGTCCTCCCTCCTGCCCTTCTTGTGGAAGGGAACAACACTGGCCCCCTTCCAGTCCTCAGGGACTTCTCCAGAGTGTCACGGATTGTGGAAGAGTTTCACCAGGGGTTCTACAATGACTTTTGCCAGCTCCTTCAGCATTCTTGGATGAAGATCATACAGTCCCGCTGACTTGTATATGTCTAATTTTTTTTAACTGGTTAATTTAGTTAATGCTATTGGTTCCAGCACACACACAAAATTATCAAAGACCTGGAATTACTCTGCATTTCATTTTCCTATCCTAAATTACTTTGTAACTTAAAGATACTGAAACAACATACAAAACTTTTGAATGAAACAAGCCATCTAAACTATTTAAGCTGCAAACGTCAATGCTCAAATTCAGGACATTTCCAGATCATTTTATTTCATCACAAAGCACGTAGTACAAAAGACTTGTTTCGATGATTACTTACCCATGAAGTTGAGATAGCCCTCTCCTCCAAGTGCATGAGTAATGAGGCGAATCATTTTATGAAGCTGTATTCCACGATCAATAACTGGAGTAAGAGGGGAAAGCACACTCATATTTGTATACATCTCTGCATCCATCAGACGGAATGCCAATGTCTTATCACCAACAAGGGCCTGCACAAAGAAAAAAAAAAATCCTTCAAATGTAAAAAATGCTTCTGATTTACAATTATAAGAAAATGTTCTAGATCAAGTATAAGTTGTATTGAGCTAACTATAATGCACTATAAATCAAGCCATCTTTTACAAAATTCATAGAAAGTGTGATGAAATAAAGATTTCTATGTAAAGCACCTGGAACCATGCTTACAGGAAATTAACAAGGTTTCTAATAAATTGATTTTCCAATGAAAATGACAGTATTTTGTTTGTATACAGCTAAAATATGATGGTTTTCAGCATTTTACCTGGAAAAAAGGGCTTAGAATTCTGTTCAAAATCAGCAATTGTATATGGTGTTCAACACTAGACATGGTTTGCTTGTTTCAGCTGAAGTTTTCTATTAGATTTATTTTGGAGACCATTCCAGCAAGATTTTCTGAGTAGGTGTAAGTGTCATGTGATTTATTCATTCAATGGCCATTTGAATTTGTAAGCCTTTTATAAAAACTTAATTGGGTGTTGAAAATATTGTCAAAAATGGAAATCTGATCTGTTTCAAAAACACTTCTCATTTATAAAACAAAAATGATTTTTTTTTTTTAAGGTACAGATACTTTGTGTAAAGTTTTAGTTAAAACACTGTAAATATTTTATGCATTTTTGTAGCATACAGAAAGGAACTCCCGTCACCCAAACAAGAAGTTAAATCTACTGCAGCATTTACTTAATATTTATACAAGCAAGTAAACTATACTAGAATAAAAACTAAGTCAAAAGGAACTGTTCAAGTATTTGATTTAAGTGAAGAATAACATTTCAGGTCAGGCACAAATATATATTTACAGACATAATCTTTTGTGTTCCTTTTTTTCTATATACTATATTTGGTTGTAAGGAAAACCAACTACTCTTCAAAACAACCTGGTGTTTTGTGACAAAGATACAGTGGTTAAAGTTTTATCAACACTATGGCTGAAGGCAAAAATAAAGAGATTATTTTTCCTGAGACACACCAAAACCATCATGGAAATCTTCTGGTTGTAAAGAAAAAATAGAGGCCTTGGCATAAGTGTCTCCACTTGTATACATCTTCCAATATACAAAGATAGGAACAACATGTTTTTGCTATAAATGTGTAACTGTAATAATAAAAACATTCATTTAATCTGGTCTAAAATAGTCTTGCAGGGTCAGATGTCATGTTTTTGCCAATATAAACAGGAAAACACTAAGAGTTTAACAACAGTAACTCAGAGCAACTGGTATTTGTTAACATAAGGAATAACAATCAGTGTCAACAGTCAAAAGTAACTGATAACCTCTAAAAACCATGCTAGTTAAAAACTTGTTAACCAATGGATGCGAAATGTATCAAATTCTTAACTTAGTGGGGGGAGGGGGGCAGGGGGGAGGGAAAGTGGTCTTCAAGACCAACCCATTTCATTAATACATGCTCAATCAAAGTTGTCGTTACTGACTGTTTATCGGTGATTGTGAACCTGTGGAGCATTAGGGGAACGAAGGACCTGAAGAACTGAACACATGGCAAGAACTCAAAGATCCTGGGGCACAAGAGTTTTTGTTCTCATTTACTGATCTGAATGCTAGTTAAACGTGTTAACTCTTTAATACTGAACTGTCGAGAAGAGACAGACATACTCGCTCTTAATTCCAGAGTCTGGCAAAGTAAGCTCCTTGGGTGCATCCAGACAAGCATACACATGCTTTTTGCACCATCTCAAACCCCCTTTGAGATGGGGCAAAAGGCATGTGCGGGAATGAAAAAAAATGTTCCACATGCTGCAAACTTGCCGCTCAGAAAGAAAATTAGACCCCTTGTTATCCAGGGGTATAAAAAAAGCGAGGCTAAAAAAGTGGGGCAGGACATGGTTCCAGATTGCGCCCTGAGGCAACCAGAGGCTGGGTCCTTCAGGGAGACGCTCTGGCTGCCACAGCGTCTCCATGGTCAGCCCCTTGCCCTGGTGCTGGTGAGTAAGGGATCGGGGGGTGCTGGAGAAGTGGAGAGGGGACCATGGGGAGACCCCCCACTGGCCCCCCTGACACCCCCTATCACTTCCCTGCCTTGCCTCACCCCCTGCCAACCCCCCCAAACCCTGCCCTGCCCTTCCCCTCGCCAGCCCCCCAAATCACTTCCCTGTCCAACCCCTCCCCCTGCTAGCCCCCCCAGACCCTCCCATCACTTCCCTCCCTGGCCCCTTTCCATGCCAGCCTCCCAGATACCC